TTTATATATATACTGCCCTAGATCAACAGTAGTAATCCAGTCTCTACCTTTAACATTCGTCAAGTATTATTTTTTTCAGTGGGTATATAGTACCACTCAGCGTCGGGTTCTTGATTGACATTCTTCAAGTTCACACACGTACACCAGTCGTCTGGTACCACCGGTTGCACCCCCGGAGTTTTGTACACAGAATGGGTGGTGGAACACCATTCCCCTCAAACTGTAGGTTCGATTATGCCAACCGCATCCCAAGCGTCTATCGTCACCTGCAACACTTCTCTTTTTCTCGGATCTTTCGCTTCATAGTAAGGAGCTCTAGGTCTCGCTCCTTTCTTCTCACGTAGCACCAACTCCTCACAATCAATAAACTTTGGGTCATTTTTGTCATATGCTATCTCCAAAATTTCTTGAAACAGAGCATCAGCCTCCGCCACCGACTTGTTGCACGCCCGCGCTAACATGTAAATACCAGAAAAGTCGCACGTTTTCTCTTTGGCAATCACACCAAAGTCCTCTTTTTTCTGGTGTTCTATTTCCACCCATGCCATGTGATCCTGGATCACCGGCAGATGCACTGGATCCAACGTTTTCTCTCTATCTTCCAATAGCATCTAAAAAACAGGTTTCTTTGGTTTTACACCTACGACCCCGCCTTCCGGCACAGTGTATCTCACGACATCAGCACCTATCCCATGCATCACTTCCTAAAGGTCTCCACGAGGAACCACCGTTAACGCATCCCCTTTCCATAACAGGTTCAGCTGCTTATGTCTTATCGTAAGAAAGCCCATCAAAAGAGCACAGCCATAAGGTAAGTGTGGTACTACCAAACATTCTGGCAACAGCAATTCCTGCTTTGCCTTCCATGTGTCAATACTATCCTGTAATGACACCCTCAACGTCCTTATCTCCGAGAATGCACCACCTTCATATGGTGCCACCCTCAATGATATCGTATTGATAAAAACTTCAGATACCAATGTCGGCACAGCTCCTGTATCTACCTATATTAATACATTTGAACCCTGCAGTGTACCATTAACAATCTCCCCCTGTCAATGCTTGCTGGGAGCACCTCCAACTGGTTCTGGGATGTCACTGTGCCTGCTGATAGTTGTACCTCATTTGTTGTTCTAATGTAAGGACCACCGTACTAGCTCCTACCACACCTTGGCAACCCCTGGTACTCTAGTTACTTCTGCTCCCAGACCCCTTTTCTTGGTGCTCTGCCCTCCTGTCGCCCCACTCACCGCAGTAACTTCTCCTCCTTTGCTCATTACTCCCACAGCCCCTACAGGAGGATGTGCATTGTATGACCAGAATCCTTCTACTGGTCCTGCTTTCGTAAATGGAGGGAAGCTGGGTTGCACTTGCTGATCTTCTGCCACCTTCTTCTTTAATGCTGTCGCTCTAGCTTTCTTCCATGCTGGACACAGATATTTACGGTGATCTATCGCTTCATAATAAAAACATCCCGAATATGAACCTCCACCTCCATACTTCTTAGTACGCCCTTTTAAAGCTTGATCTTTGTTCACCAAAGCCAAGGATCCAACAGGCTGTTGCTTTCTAGCTTTGGCATTGTCTAAACTATTACGTAAAGATTCTGCAACCTTAGATATACCACCCATATGGTATACAGATCTCTACATTTCTCTCTGGGACTCTGGCGTACTATCCATGACTACCATCCTAATTCTAGCTTCCATCTCCGTGACTGCTTCTATTCGTTCTTCATCCCAACCCGATGCTACATCCTCTTCCGCCAACATTAGTGACAAACCTGTCTTCACAAATGGGTAGGTCCACACTTAGTAATCAATCCAAACCTTGCCCCATCATGTGTTTCACTTTTGTTCTGGAACCGAAGCAGCATATCTTGATAGTTCTATTGCTCTTCCGCTTTTCCTTGTGCCAACTTCACTGCCGCTACACACACTCTTCTCTGTACATCCGCCAAAGGTAATGCAGACAGAACCTACTTCTTCCTCAGATTCCACCACATTCTTCTCCATCTTCACTATCTTTTTCATTATATTATTAACCAAATGAACAGTCGTGGGACTCGTCTTCTCCACTGTCCCCTTCCCTTTGTTGACAGCCGTAATCTTTGGGTAGTCCCAGCTGAGCAACTCGAATGATAGTTTCGGTACCGGTATCTTGTCGGTCGAGAGAACGCTTGTACAACTCTATATCGTATCGACGTCTGTCAATGTCCTCTTTTAGCGCTGCATCAAACACTTGTTTTTCCTACTCGATACGTTCCTGGGCCAGTCGCTTGGCCTCTTCGTCCAACTCATCAATCTTTTTCTGTCGGTCAGTCTTTGGGGGAGGTAGCGGTTTTTTCAGTTTTGTGGGCGCGTCCAGGTCGAAGCGATTAAGCATGTTCTCCTTAAAATGATGACAGCTAAATTCACCTGTGTAGATAATCTCGAGGCTGGTGCGCTGGTGGCGGGCTACGGCGGTGATGACGATGCACATCACCAGGCGAATGCCAGCTGCCGTCATCATTTTGAGGTCTAGGAAACAGACGTTCATCAGTGCCTCTAGGCAGTGGAACCTTATAGATAGCTTCTCGTTCTTCTCGACTTTGAACCCGAGCAGCGATACCGTGCTGGCCTTGGTGCTCAGGATGTGCTGTAGTTGGAATCTGGTTGCTTTATTATTCATTTTGGTGTGTGTGTGTGTGGGACTGTGAGGGTTACTGTGGTCCTGAAATGGTTTTATATATATATCATCTTCATAGCCTCTGAAAATTCAAAATTGAGAAAGAAAACAGTTAGGCCGTTAGGGCTATGAAATTCTGATTTTGAATTCCTGTCGGCTGCCATGTTGATTCAAAAGCGTGTGGACTTTTGACATATAAAAACAGGTGTCAGAATTTTCATAGCCTCTTTTCCATAGCCTTCGTTTAATTTAGAAGGCTATGTCTTTTCTAAAAAATAGAATAAAACCCTAAAACCCTAGAACAAGCCATCTCACGCCCATCAGAGTATTGCCAGCGTGTACACACGAACACAGACTCTCATAATCCAGCAGACTATCGGTTCCGTAGATGTAGTACGACTTATGCCCTGGGTTGTCTATTGAATGAGCTTTAGGGGTTGAGAATTAATAAAAGGTAAATAGACTCTCCCATCAGCATGTAGGAGTATTTTAACCACCCACGAGTGACTGTCTATCGTTCGAACTGGATGGTATCGTAATAAAGCACTACACCAATGCGCGTAAGAGTTTCCGAAAGTATCTCAACTAAGGGAGAAGCAATATGACAAGACTGGATTATATTCCCCACAGGGCACACCCAACTCCACACAAACAAACTAAAAACAAAGCATACGTACAACTATTAGAGAGCTTTCAGTGACTTTGGGACGGATAATCATACTATATTTTATTTGATATAAGTTCAATACAGGTTGATCCCCCTTCCATGCAAGTTGTATGGGCAGTATCGGGTGCACAGAGAATAGTTGCTGCACGGGGTAGTGCTACTACCATGCTGCCCTACACCTAGACTGGCTATACGGACCCTCCCTTCACACGATTAAAGTGTAGTCTCCTCAACCGGGTTGTAGTCGGAAGCCAGCCGTATGTGAATGTACCGAACACTATAGCTTGAGGTGCAGTACAGCCACCTAGAGAACACAGACGTGGGACGACATTAATAACCAGCACGAGATAGGACTAGAAGCTACTTCCTCCGGTTGAGTATCCAGGCAGCGCATATTCGAACTGGTGGCAATTACTTGAAATGTACATATGTATATATATATACATATACATACATACATACACACACACCCACACACACACCCACACCCACACATTTATATATATATATATATATATACATATCACAATATATATCACAATATATATATATATATATACATNCATACATATACATACACACACACACATATATATATATAGATATATATATCATTATTATATTATTATGTATAATATATACATATATATATGTGAGTGTGTATGTATATGTATGTATGTATATATATATGTATATATATATATATATATATAGCAATATAACAATATAACAATATATATATCACAATATGTATATATATATACATACATAAATATACACACACACACATATATATATATGTATATATAAATATTATACATAATAATATAATAATATAATAATATAACAAGATATATATATAATAAATAACATAATATTATATAATATATATAAACAAGATTGGATCAGGAAGCACCTACGGTGAAGTAAAGAAGGATACACCAAACTCAATGTATAATACAATACAACTACACGTATCTGGGGCCAATTGTCATAGCAGCAGCTCTAGCTATGTACATGAACATGCATACACTACAGCAAGGCGGTAGGCACTGCGGGTCTCACACATGCGAACGTACGGGAGAGTGCTGGTGGCTGAGAGTGCAATTGCAATAGACGTACCGAACTGTCTCCGAAGCAGGCGGCCACTTTGTTGTCGTTGGGACTCCACGCGACCTCGAAGATACCCGACGTCCCTTGGTAGGACTTCTCAACTTTGCCCTCCTGCATGAGTCAGAAGTACCAGATTACAAAACAGGTGGGAGATGCAAATAGTCAGGAATACTTGGATACATATTTACAGGATATATATACACTAACAAAACATATGAATAGTAGAGATACATGCATATACACAGGATATATATACACTTACAAAACAATTGAGCCATATGAATAGTAGATATACATGGATACATATACACAGGATATATAGATACACTTTCAAAACAATTGAGTCATATGAATAGTAGAGATACATGGATACATATACACTTACACAATAGAGTCATATGAATGGTCGGGGAGACATGGGTACATATACACAGGATATATATACACTTACAAAACAGTTGAGCCATATGAATAGTAGAGATGCAAGGATATATATACACAGGATATATATACACAAAACAATTGAAAGATATACATGCATAAACATGCATATACATGCATACACACACACACACACACATATATATATATTAATATATATATATCCAGTCATACAAACAAGCCCGGGGGCCAGAGGCGCTAAAACCCTAAAACCTTACCTGAACATCCCAAACCAAAAGACGGTGGTCCAGAGAGCCTGATGCCAGAAACTTGCCGTCCGGACTAAAACACATAGAATACACCGGAGCCACATGGTCGCTGAATACATGCAAGCATGTGCTGCGATGGACGTCCCATAGTCGGATGGTGGCATCGTAGGCCGCACTGTAGTAGAGGGTGTAGGGTTTAGGGTTTAGAGAGAGGGGCTATATGGATGTGTTTCTGTATACGTAAGTTTATACCCATGTATATGAATATATACATACATTTATAGGTGTATGCAATATGTGTAAGATACAATAACAATAAAGAACTAGACATATACAGATACGTACATGACCAGTCTATTGCCGTTGATCAGGTGTGTGTGTGTGTGTTGAGATTCCCCATCTTGCTAACAAAAGCACGTCAAAGATATAGCAGATATATACTGCGATTGAATAAGGCCGGGATAAGACAACGCCCCGCGTCCTACAGACAAACTTACATAGCCAAAATCACAGACAAACTTACGTAGCCAATATCACAGACAAACTTACGTAATCAATATTACAGATAAACTTACATAGCCAATATTACAGACAAACTTACATAGCCAAAATCACAGACAAACTTACGTAGCCAATAATACAGACAAACTTACGTAGCCAATATTACAGACAAACTTACGTAATCAATATTACAGACAAACTTACATAGCCAATATAACAGACAAACTTACGTAGCCAATATAACAGACAAACTTACGTAGCCAATATACTGCCGTTCATCAGGTGCGGTGCCCAGTTGAGCGTGAATATCTCCCGCTCGTGCCCTTCTAAGCTGGTCAGGGGCGAGTCTTTCTTCATGCTCCATATCTTGGCTGTGAAATCATCGGAACACGACGCTAATAGAGTGCCCGACGGGTCCCATTTGATAGAGTTGATGTCCCGTTTATGTCCTTGGAACATCATCAGCGGCTCTTTCTCAGTCAGTTTGCATACGTAGATGTTACTGTCCGCCGAGCAGCTGCAGGGGGTGGTTGGAGACTCAAAAGCTTAGATAGGAAGGATACACTTTCTACCAATGTACTTGTGTATATGTATACAAATGTGTGTACGTGTAGATGATATAGATGTATGGATATATACAAATGTGGGGAGAAAGTGGGAGAATTGCGCAGGACAATACCCATCATACACATATACTACAGACATATACACACACGGCAACACACACACACACACACATACAGAGAGAGAGACACAGACACAATATACAGACTTATACCAATGAACACATGACACAGAAGGAATACATACCTGGCAAAGCTCGTATTGTTCCGCCAATTCAGGTCCAGGATAGCGTCTTCATGAAACCTGAACTCCTGCCTGACTGTCCCGGTTTGTGCATTCCACACAATAGCGGTACTGTCCACCCCACCGGTTAGCAAGGAGTCACCCCTCCTGTTCCATTTGAGGGCAAAAACGGGTTTGTTGTGGCCCTTTAACACAAACTCCAGCTTGCCGTCTTTGTCCCAGATTCTCGCCTCGCCGGTGAACGAAACTGTCCCTAATCTGGAACCGTCGCCCTGATTTTGCGTAGAGGATTGTACTTGCACGGTCAGAAATGACTCGTGTGTGAGGC